CAGGAATGTAAATTCTGGCATATAATGCCGATTTCAAGTTAATTACTACTTGCATTTCTAAACGAGACTACAATTATAAATCCACAATAGCATGGTTTTATCATTTTGCTGCAACTTTGACTACAAATTATAGACAGGAACTGTGTGCCCACTCTGCACCACATAACCCTGTATAGTCTGCCCTATAGCTGCAAGATTCTACTAAATGGATGCTTTTATCGTTCAATGCTAACATCTGCTAAATCACTCCATTGTTTCTTCAGCAGATGGCTTGTCACGAGGCCAGATAATAAAGATATGTTTACACTGTATATACAGCCAGACTAATGGTCTGATACCGATAGGGCCTGTTTGCTGTGTCGATACTAATTAGCCAAGGAGAGCCAATGAAAGCTTTCTAACAGACTGCATGTTAAAACATTAGGTTCATTAAGCTTCATTAGTAAGGCAGAAACAAACATTTCGGTATATGGAATAAGTGCATTCTTACGATGTTCTTAATTATTGCATAGACAGAATTTTTTGACCACTTTACATTTGGCTACATTTATGAATCATTTTATTTTCTGAGGGACATTTATGCTCTTAAAAGCAAGCTAATCTTTTCAAACTGCTTTAAGGTAGAGGTGGTATTGATCTGATTTATTATGATTTGGATAACATCAGCTTTGTTTATTATTTTTCTAACAGTAAGCCTAATAAGAGGCCAAGACAAATTTCAAAGACAGATCTTACAAGAAAAAAAATTACATTCGCTTTATTTTATTGTACAGTGTTTTATATAAAACCTTAACATTTTGTGTCTAGGCTTGGACCACGCTTTTATGGTGTTAAGCCTTCTACAAAAATCATAGAACTTGATATTCACAATCACCTTTTAAAGCTGCTGATAGTCTAGAGTTCTTTTAAAGATCAAATCATCTAAATTACAGAATTATATTAGACTAAATTACAGAAATTAAAAAGCTAACAGTTTAATGCAAACATCTAGAAATACAAAATAGGCAGTTTGCAGAACACTCATTAAAAGCCAAGATTTCCAGGCAGCTTGACAGACTGACTCTAAAATTCAATAACAAACACATAAAAGAACACTAACAGAAAAATACATACTTTATAAAAAGTTAAATGATTTTTTGCAGTACTTGGCTCTTATGAGAAGGTTATGTTTATAGGTTTTATGTTCAGCCTTCAGACCTTCTTAAGCAAAAACAAAGCCATTAGTCTAGGCACATACGCAATTTGTGCCATAAGTCATGATCTTCAAACTCAATCCAAACAGCAATGCTAATAAAAACTAGCTGCAGAAATGCAAAAAGCACTGGGCTGTGCAAATGTAAATGACAAGCTTGCCAATCCATTAAAACTAATGGCCTGCACTGTCCAAGTATCTCTGGTTGAATTCACATGCAAATTTGTATGCAAAATGTTCAAGCACTTTTCAGGACATGATATACCATTAATATCAACTCACATTTTTTTCTTGAGGCAAGATACCTTTATTATATAGTAGAAACACAATGAAAGTAAATGGATTACCTTCTAGTCTACCATGCTTTCCTAAGACTTCTACCAGTGCTACGTACTTTCCAGTGTCAAGAGCAACAGGTGAATTCTTAGGGAAGCTAGAAATTAAAACATTAAGAATTGTATCAACAGAAGTTCACATTTTATGGATTCAGCTTAAAGGTTTATTTTTAAAACTACATAACAAAACAACAGCATTGAGAGCTAAAAGTTACAATAAGTATTAAAGGAAAAATCTGATAGACTTTAAAAGACGCACTATTAAAATGTGTTTTTAAAATATTTTCTACACACCTTCCCACCCCCAAAACGCAGCAGTTGTATACGAGTCAAATGGCTTAGTTATTTGGTAGTTATCGCATAAAATAGGGTATTTCCCAGAAGCCTGGGAAAAAAACTAAAGTCTACATGGCTGGGCCAGGGCTATATTCTTTTTGATAAAGAACATGAAACTATTCGCCTACAGTAAAAAGTTAAGAGCTACTATTTTCAAGTTTCTGCTATGTATTTGTTTTCTTTTTTCTGAAAGTTTTAAAATTAATTCCTTCTTTGTTGTTTCTTTTTGTAGCAATTCAAAGAGTCACTTCTTAGCAATATTATCCTACACTTGAGGCAGATCAGTAAAAATGTGCTACTGCAATGAAGCTCCACTAGAAGAGTCAATTTTACTTCATGCAAGCTCACTATGGGGATTGTGCAATAGTGGTAGTACAGCCAAAACCAAAAGACTACCGTTATTTGCAGAGTGGCAAATTTCTTGATATTCATGGCTCAATCATTTCACATAATTTCCAAACACCAGCAAGGTGTAATGATCACCTACCTGATAACCTACTGTAAAAACAAAGCAAATACTTTGTGAGTGCATATGAGAGAACCTGAAAGTAACACATAACTTGTTCTATATTCACTGCAGCGTCAGACTGAAAGGAAGCTTTCAAGAGAAAAAAGGAAGGGGCTAATAGAAGGATGATCTGTAAAAATTTGCTGCAGGATAAGTCATGCATAGCACTTTTTTGTTGGGAGCTAATTTTCACGGCCAAAATAGAAAACTCTGAAAATAAAAATTTAAAGTGGAATGTTTGTTCACAGTCTTAAAACCATGTCACTCAGAAACATTGCTATTCTAAAGAAAATTTAAGTGCAGCATATTCTAAACACATTCTAGGTGCTACTCTGACACACAATACAGGTACTTTTTTCCCTTAATTTAAGCCAAACTTCAATTTAGACACTATGTATGTTTTAAAAAAAAAACCAGATCTTACCTAGCAATTTGCCTTAAAAAAAAAAAAAAAAGATAATTACTGACCATACAAAGTAGCTGCTTCTGATGTTCAATCACACAAAGCAAATTTTTTGTTTCAAAAAACCCCACCCTTGACTATTTTAAATGCACATACATTGGTGGGGAAAACTAATTAAAAATGGATGAGGGGGTTAACACTCAACCTACTTAATTCAACAAGGTCTGTGTATCAGCATAAATCTCTGTGACATGTTTCAGTGCCGGTGTACTTACACTTTTTCTTTCAGGTTCATTGCCTCTTCTACATTATCATGTCGACAGCACAAATTTATTAAGGCTGCATAGCCACCGACAACCATGTCCGGTTCGTATTTGGCTTTCACTTCAAGGGCTTTTTGCATATTCTAAAAAAGGAACAAAGCAAAGATGTGAACTAGAGGAAAAGTCAGTATGACATTATGATTCTTATATGTTCAGTGTGCAGTTACATGACTGCTTTAGTGCTTTCAGTAGTATAAGATCACATTTGAAAGCACAGTGCTGTAATGCTTTAGCAAATTAAGAGTGAAAGTTATTTTGCAGAAATTAGTATTTTTCTAACACACCTTTTAGATTAACTTGACAGTAGATTTCTAAATAAATTTTCTTGCTTTACGTTTATATTTCTACCATGTTTTAAGAGTTGTTTTTTTTTTAATCCAGACAGACACCATAAACATGATTAACCCAAATTCTAAAATAGTTCTTATTTATTTGGAATTCATAACAATTTTCACCTGGTACACTGCCAAACACATAACAAAACTACTTTCTGAAGAATAAGAAACTACTTAACGATCCCATAGAACGCTTATTTTTTTTATACATTCCTATTCATACATTTGACCACTTTGAACTTACAACGGTGTTTGCTTCTAGTCTTATTTCATATGCAAAATTGTAGAGACAGACAGCTAAGAATCACTCTTTCTAAACTGTATTCTTAGCAACAGAGAATATGGTGCTATCATCTGCATGACTGTTACTGTTCCTATATATACAGCTTTATAGGCAGGATCATACTGAACAAGAAACTGAATAGAAGTGTGGTGATACCCCACAAATTACAGACACACACTAAATGAATGTAAACTACAGCTGGACGCCTGCCGAATGAAGGCAAGAGACCCTTTATCTCAGAAGAGCTTTCCTCCTGCAGGAAAATGGAATTTCAATCCCTGCATTAACAACCTAGTAATATTTGAATTGCAAATGACTAGCGCATGTATCAGTTGCTTGACAATCTAGATATAAGAGACCGGAGCCATGGCTTGAAAGGACATTTGGCATGTATGTTAAACCTATCACAGCTGTTACTATCATTCACTTTGCAGATTATTGTAAACAAACTTCAGCAACCCCAAAACATGCCATTCAAGGTGTTGCTGAAATTAGTTAACCTTTTGATTTAATTGCTTTTTGCACTTATGTTTGATTTATAAGCATCAAACCATGAAACCTCAAGCACTGCACTTGTCTTTGCTTAACTATGTCTTTCCATAATACAGTCATTTATGTCCCTTTAAAAATATAGCTATGTGTTTCCAATTATCTCTGCATTGCTTAAGATACCTCTTCTTCACAAAGAGCATGTATGAGTTGTTTCAAGACATCTGTAATAGGCTGGTTTTCAGCTTTTCGCTTTTCTAGTTTCTTCTCCAAAGCAGACACGTCAGATTTAGCACTCTAAATGGAGGTAACAGAAAGAATGTCAATTGCAAAAACACCCTTCCCTGAACAACTTGTCGGATCACTTTAATAAAAGACAGACAAAATAATCCTCTTCTTTCATACTACAAGAAATTTTTTAATCATTTAAGGTGCTTTTATCTGTTTAAACACTACATACTAATTGAAGAGTTGAGTCAGAATACAGTAAAAAAAAACCATTAAGTAGCATATCTACAAAGGTCAACATTACTATTTCTCTCATACTCAGTTCTTTACGTTCGGGGAAGTAGGGAATAGAAGCCTGTTTCTTTTTCCATCTCCATTCCGCTCCGATCAGGGATATAAAGACTTGACACTCCACCATTAGAAGCAGTATGGATTTATATGGTTCCTGCCACTCAAGTGGATCACTGTAATTTACAAGCATGAATTAAGCCTCACACCACCACTGTTGACTAACTAGAACTTTTAAAAAAATATTTACCAGACAGGGAAACTGAGGCATGAAACCTCAGCCAACTCCAAGGTCAAGTATCAGGGTTAAGTGAAAATCTGGATAGCCTGTACTCCTACTCTGGAAAGTAACCTCTGAACTTCAAATGGTAGATTTAAATAACATTAATATACTTCCATGGTCTGAAAGCTAGTGATTACACTTCATCTAAAACCCATATCCAAACGTTGTTATTATTACAGTAAGAACAAGCATAGCTATCTGTGAATTTACTTACTTCTGGAATGTTGTCGGCAGACGGGGATTTTTTAAGAGACAGTAACCTTGCATCCTAAAATGCAGTAAGACAAAGATATCACTAATCCCCACAAAAAGTTCAATCTTCCAGTAAGCCTATCATACTAAAAATGTTCAAGTTAATTATATAATTGCAATGTTCAAAAAAGCTGTATTCTGCAGCATTATTACATTGACTTGAAAATGCACTTATTAAATGTATCCCTCAAAAACTTTCACATATGAAATGAAAACAGCTTCAACAGTGAAAAATCATGGAAAGGTTAAGAGGCTTACATATAATCACTGCATAAACATATTTATTTTGCAAAGGAGAATATATTCACAGAGTACAGATACTCCATTTTTTAGCTTCAAAGTAATTGCTATAGAACAACAGACCTTAATTAATTCAGGAACTTGAGAGGAGTCCAGCAGTCTGCAAATGCCGCTGTAGTGGGTTGTAGGGATAACTATATTCTGTACCAAGAGGTGGGGAAAAAATTATATGAGTTTTGAAACACAACCAAACTGAAATTTGTCTAACAGAAATTATCTCAGACGTAATTCAAGTCTCCAGCTCTTGCATGTCATTGAGAAGTGGTCTGGTTGTACTTAAAAGCAGCAATTTCAAATCTAATAGATACATGTCAGGCAGGACAGGCATTATGTAGCAAAAAATGAAATGGTACCATCTTCTTCAGCTGATGGAAGTATTGTCTCAAACGCTCCTCCTTGGCCTGTACCTCTGAGTCACTCATGCTGTCAATCAAGTGATAAAGAAAATAGCCAACAGCTTCTGTGGAAAAAAACAAGAGAAAGCATTCCACTAAAATTACCGAGACTGTCATGTTATCAAGATTAATTTATAAGAAATCATTTTGGTGTGAGATGTCACCCTGATGAGAGGCTCTGAAATGGCAACAATGATCACTGAGGCATAGAGATTATGTGGTTTGGGAGCACATATCTAACTGGTGAGTGAAAGGAATATTAATTATTTTCAGACCTAGTGACAGCTTTTCAGTACAGAATCTTACTTCAATCTATTTTTTTCCACTACTGTGTGACAGAAGTGGTACTGCCCAAGGCCTTCCCCCCCTCTCCTGCCCACTACCCCAAATAGTTGCCACAAATATTTTGTCATCGCTCAAAAGAAAAAACAGATTTCTAACACTTTGCATATTTATTCTGTACATTTTACCACCCATTATATTCCATTACCCAGCTACATTAAGTATTGTAATATTAATATAAAAACATAAAAGATATTTTAACCATTAGATCAACTAATACTGAAGAAGTTGCCTATCAGCCAATGAAAATCAAGATTAACAGATTTTAACAAACAGTGCTGAGTTTCTTATCTATGCAAGTGTAAAAATACATGGGGCCCTGTAGCAGAGAATAGGAAGAGCATCAATTATTGTTTTCCCAAAGGTTAGCTTTCCCCATACCCTTGTTAGCTTGTCCCTCTGGCCCCGACAGGAGGAAAAAAAAAACCCTGTTTTTTTAAAAAAACAGATTATACAAAAAAGTATACTTATTTCAAAGTACTTTTAAGTACCATTTTGCTTCACAAAATCAGAAGAGCTAAGAAAGGTAAAACTAGGTTGAAAAACTGCCTTCTTTTAAGTATTTAAGCAGTGATACTATGCTCATTTTAAATCTCTATTTTGGTCAATAAATTTAGAAAAATAAATCATTGTCAGCAAATTTGTTTATAATTCTAAAAAAAGATCTCATGGATCTCACAAAATATGCTCTGATTATTCGAATCAGGATTTTATCCAACATGTTTTCAAATTTCACTTTCAAAAAGAAGCAATCAGTGTTTACTGTTGTAATCCCTCAAACCCATCATTACACAGAAGAACGGATTTGTGGATAAGTTACAATCATAGAAATTGAAACTCTACCAGTTGGTCCTGGAGGCGTCAGGCAATAACGTTCATCCTTGTACAACAGTTCTGTTATCTGGTAAGACAGAATAATCGTACATTGCAGCCAAAAGAAGCAAGGAAGGACAAATAGTATCTGAAATTGAATTCTCAAAATAATAAAGTATTTCTCTGTTAAAGCATTATTCTTTACCACATCATAGTAATTCCCTAAGAAATATGAGGAAGGGGGTTTTTTTGTAAATAATAGGTTTTTCTTAAAAAAATATTGCAAACAGAAATGCTTTCTGAGGCATGGCAGAAAGACAGACACTCTAGTAATCTGTTTATGTATCATTCTACAGAAAGTTAGGTATTGTAAGACATTGCTTAAAGCAAATATTATCTAGTGTTGCTCCTGGAGATGCTACAATTATGTTCCAATTTACTGAAAGGCTGAAATTGACCCATAAGGTTGGGTTTTTAACTTTGAAAGAAGCAAATACATAAAGAAAATAGAGGAACACGAATTATCATGCTCTGCTAGATTTAAGATAACTAGTACAGCTGTTGTAAATAAGTGCAATTTTGAATGACAAAATATGCATCCATAAAACTTAATTGCATTTGACTAAATTTAGCACACGTTCCATCAGTCATATAAACTGAAGGAATATGTAGATCTCATTTCATCGGAGGAAAAGAAGCATTTACCCAAAAGCACCCACGTCCTCCCTACAAATACTTTAACCTAAACTACATCACTTTAAAAATCCATTTGATTGCTCTTAAGGAAATTATGTCATCTTTAGTTAAAAACTAAGAAGTATTTCAAGAATTTTGCTTTATCTGACATGATTCTAGAATGCAATCTGAAAGAAGCTAGAGGGAGATGCATTCCCACTGTCAAAGTGCTAAGTAATGGCAAAAGAAAAGGACCCCTCACCTTCAACTTTTAATGGAAATGGATAAATAAAGCCAAAAAATACCAAATGTGCAATGGAATACCGTATATATCACTTCTCATTCTACCAACACCACAGACACTGTGCACAGTTAAACTACAGCTTTCTTCTGCCCTTTCGCCCTCGTCCTTCTATGATGAATCAACACACAGAACCTACAACTACAATAAAATTCAAGAAAGTCATGGTAACACAGTTCTCCTTCTGAATCAAATCTCAGAGAATACCAAAAAGGATGGATTACGGAAAAAAAAAAAAAAAAAAGAATGTGTGATACTGTTTCTAATGCTAAGAATCTACTTCCCAAGTTAGCAGTTCTTGTTTTAGAAGGTTAATACACATATTTACTCATAAATTTAGCGAAGACAACAATGTATCTTTCTTCCATTGTGGAGAACAGCAGAGGTAACTCTAGACAGTACTTCATGTGCAGACCACCATTACTTTAGTCCTCTGACTGTCCTTCAAAATTAATTTCATAGTGGGAATAATAAGAGATCCTCTTCTTTTCCTCTCCCTGTCCTCCCTTTTTATTTTTTAAATGTAAAAAGGAAGGATAGAGGCAGAGGACAAAAACATCCTCTCACCATAGTCTTCAAACAGAAAATGGTAGTAAAATACAAAAAAACCCTGCACCTCACAAGCTGTACCTGATTCATACAAGTCACTAATCAGTGACTTTCCAAATTACAATTTCCATTTCATTCGAAGATTTCTTTGCAAAATCTAAAATATACTGCAAGCCATGTGCTAGTTTATTAGGCCACAGGTACAGTATGGAAGAAAAATGACAAAAAGCACAGTGCATCCCTTCCCAAATTCTGTAACCACATCCCAGGCAGTATCTGCCAACACCTCCTCTATTCTAGTGCTCCCCAAAATTTACTGACCAAGTTATATTGCAGTGTCTTTCTGATGTAGCCCATACCAGAGAGGGCAAGATTATCAGTCATTTCCCCTTGACTTCATCGAGGTGATTTCTTTTATCTAGCTTTCCATTCAATGTCTGAAGTTATACGACAGACACTTTAAAATTCTAATTGTGCCTTATCATTTTTGTTAGTACTAGTGTGGGGATAGGAAGAAAGTTTAGGGAAGGCAGAAGAGGAAATTAAACAACGTCAGATTGCACAACCATGGCAGACTTTGTTCCAGAAGCTACAACTATATACTACCTTTAGCTATAACAACATTGATCTAGAAATAGGAGTAGCATAACCTAGACTACATGGTAACACCACATTTGATTTTTCACAATTACACTTAACTGTTCAATTTGAAAACTCAATTCATACAGTTGTACAGTCTGCCATTGACAAAAGTCTTGCTCAAATTAATCAGGTCTACAATTATCGGGCTCAGAATTCAGATTTACAGTAATACATCATAAACATGCAGTGCCTAAAGAACTTGATTTTATTTACAGCATTATTATCTCCACTTACCTTGCTCCAAAGATGTACATCATTTGAGCTGAAGAGGGCAGCAAAGGATAACAAATTAAAAGCAAGAAAATGATTTTACTCCTGTATCTTTTTTTTTTAAAAAACACAGATTAACCCTAAGAATCTTATTAAATTATTTAAATACAATTAAAATACAATAAATTATCACATAATTTTTAAACCAACTTTGTACAGAATAAGTATTGTGCTTTTTACTATACTGCATATGATCATAGTTTCTGCTAAATAACTTAAAATAGTGCAGCAATCCAAACAGATAACTAAGACTACAAAGAATATTTTTAGTTCAATCTTTCAACACGTCCTAATTGTACTTTTTTATTTTATACTAGATTCTATTTAGCATTTCAAGAAAATAAGCTTCACTCAAACAAGTCACACTTTACATAGCAAACACTCGATATGTAGAATTTGCTAGAGCAAAAATCCAGCATTAAAATTTTAGTATAGACAGGTAACTATAGGCAGCTATAAATGCATTTATACCATGCAAAAAAGAAAGTAATCAAATCTTTTACTTAAGGTATAATGTTTATTATAGTGAGATAAATAGATAATATTTTAAAAAACCAGAAAACAAATCATAGAACTCTAATTTCTCCCCTCATAGAACAGGACAAAACTTGATGGAGAACACTCCTCTGTACATCATCAGGTTACAACCAAACATCCAATGTTAACCAGTTCACTAAAGTATAAAAACCCCGACATACTAAAATGTTAACCAGTTTACTGAAGTATAAAAACCCTGACATTCCTGTAATTTGTAGAACATCAGAATTCTCACTAGAAGCTATAACTCTTTGACAACTATAAAGCAGCATTAACCTAGACAAGGCTAAGAGAACAAAACCTTATGACCTTATTTCATCTTCCTATAATTCTCGTAAGGGGAAAATAAGATGTCAGTCTGAACAGCTGCACAGAAATTTGAAAGCATTCATAGAAGTTTAGGATTTTATTTAGGAGGTTCAAGACTACAAAACATTTATTCTTTTTGTGCAACTGCCACTTGTATTTGAAAACGAGTCAAATGCAGGTCCACACAGAAGGAAAAAAAACATTCTATCTGTGAGGTTAGTTAAGCTTTCCTGGGTGAACTCGCTCCACCACTGACAGCACGACAATGAACTGGAGATATCAAATGCATCAATTTCCTAAAGTACTTGACTCTGAAATAGTAATGGCAGATAGAATGGGAATACTTTGAAGCAGTTACTAGAGAAGAGCAGCTTCAACAGAAATCCATAAACTAGTCTGCCACAAACATTGTTCATGTGTCCCTGGTGTCCATACCCTGTACTTTTGTACGCCAGTCCTAAACTCCACTCATTTGAACATTCAAGAACTGCATTTAGTCATAAAATTTCGCTGCAGTCTTTACAAATGCTCTTTTCTACTATCCTATCATACCCTCAAGGTTCATTTCCAGGCTGTTCTAGCTATTAAGTTTAAAATAGAAAAGGAAACATGAATTGGCACGCTTTCAGAAACAATAAGGGTGAAATTTGGGCACAGCCAACCTTGTCCATAGCTTCTGAAGCTAGGTAGCAATAAAGGCAAACAAGAGAGACTAATATTAAACAAATTAAAAAAACCCCTTATACTGCACTTACAAATGGCAAGGAGAGGGGAGGAAACAGTACGCTGAAGTAAAAACAAACAAACAAAAAACCCTGAAAAACCAAAACCACTGCCCCCAAAAACCCCTAACCTTAATTTCCCTCAGAATTCTGAGTTTTTAGCCCAAATGTCCAGTAACTATTGAAATTACAACAGTGGTAACTGTTCCACTGCTGAGGAGAGTAACTGTTTCACTTGAGGAGAGTATGATTCTTCAGCAGCTAGTTTTCACAATACAAGTTGGTAACATTTTAAAGATACTTAAAATCACATTCTGAACACCTGCACAACTCTCCAGTGGTAGGGGTATTTCATGCTAGCATTTCTGTGTGGTAAACATTGGTATGGCTTCCTTTCTAGTGTAAGCCGGGCTTCAGTTGAGTATCTATACTTACAGACAGAAAATATGTTTCAAAAATCTGTTACTTTAATGAAAAGATCTGAAATGGATGATTCTGGGGCTGACTACTAAAAGGAACAGTAAAAATACCCCTATTGTATCTAAAACATTATTTCACTTATCCCTTGGATGTCAAGGTCAGCTAGGGCCTTGAACACTGGTTTGCTTTTTCTCCTCCTTTTCCCATGGTAGAACTTGCAATTTACCAGGAAATCATTTTCATCATATTGACCTGGTATGTTTTACTTAAATCCAACCTAAACATAGCTATAGTTCACAACCATTACAAAATTTTAGGAAATAACTTAGTCAAAATCAGCCTTCAGACTCTGGTCCTGAGTAATATTAAGTGACCTCTCTGGTTCCCAGTGGTATAGGTATGCTGCAAAAAAACCCTTATTTGCAGTCCTAAATGTCTGACTGGGGCAAACTGAATTATAGAAATGCTTGTTAATTCACATATACTTGCATAAGCTTAAGACAACCCTGCAAGGTAGCAAGGAACCCTTCCTTGCAAAACGGAACCATGTGGCTGTGAATACAAAGTCACGGCAACATAGCACAATACTAGGTGCTAAATGTGAGCGTTCAGGAGTCATATTAACCCAGAGGGCACAGAAAGCTATCAGATGTAGTAGAACATGCCTGGCTCCTATGGGTATTTCATCTTCATGAAGCACCCCTTTACTTTAATGGTTAATAGCGACAATCTTTAGGGAAATCTTACATTAGCATAGCAGTTTATAAACAAAAAAGTGAATAAAGATAAAACCCCAAATGCTTACTTCCCTGATAAGTTTATATACTGCCAAATACCACAGAACAAACAAGAACAGTGAAGTTTTTTAATCTACTATATGTAATACTTCAAAGGTATGCTCATATATAGCAGAGGCAAGGAAACCAGGGAGAGCAGAGAGGAATAAAGATACGCCTCAGATCTGCTACAGCTGGAACCTGACTTTTAAATTTTCAAACACGGAGGCAGGGGGAAAGACTGCAGACTTGTGCTCAACAAGGCAAAAAAGAGAGGGAA